GGGGGGGGGGGGGGGGGTGGGGGGGGAGAGCTCTGATACCATCCAAACAAATCACTGTTTAAAACTAAACGTCACAAGTCCAGACCACATATCGTTATTTCCCAAGGTGTCCATAAAACGATCCTGTTACAGCGCGACAGACAGGCGATCTTGGCGACTGGTAGAGGATATTGTAACGTCGCCTTTCGGTAGTTAGATGATCAGTTTTTAATTTAATTTTTTTTTTCGGTGCCCTGTGTTGTCCTGATTTGGGAAGGTACTTCGGCGGCGTCCCATTTTGTGTCGTCACCTTTTGCAGGGGCCGCCACCACCAAGTACTTCCCTTTTCAAGACACTGAGTTGCCTCTACCGCAAAAATAACTTTTTTTTTCTTCCTCGGAAATTTTCTTTGTCAAAATACAATTTCTATGTCAATATACATTTTCGATAGCTGGGCATTAAAACTGACTTGCACTTAGAAGTGACACGTTTTATGGCGAGGTGTTTACGACAGCGGCCTTGCAATGATTAGCTTAACCAACATACAAGCCCATGACGTTGTCGTGTTGCTGTTCAAATGCATCTACTGATTTAATCCGTGTTTTAACAGCTCGTACAAAAGACAAAACCCAATGCGTCATGTGACGCGGAGCACCACTTAGAGGGTGTCCTTTAAATTGTGACTCATTAACTGTGGCATGGGGGACATAAAAACAGAAAACCAAAAAAAATTATTTTTTTTGTTTTAGAAATTCCCATCCTTGGATGGATCTATTCCGAAATCCCTGGGGAAATTTAATCGGAGAGTGGCAACGGGAGACCAACATCCCGCCATCAGGAGACCAACATCCCGCCATGACACCACCGACCGTTCGAATGGCAATTTTGAAACATTTAACAACCGAGCGCAAACATCACTTACCGCAATGAGTAAATACCGCCGACCCACTGTCGAACAGGTACCTGGCTGTACATTTAGCGTGTCAGCGTGTGTGTTGTGTGTGGGTGTGTGTTGTGTGTGGGTGTGTGTTGTGTGTGCATGTGAAAGGTGTTTTTTTTTGTTTTTTTTTTGCGGGTGTGTGTTGTTTCTGTATCTACGTGTCTGTGAATGTGTGTGTTGTGGGTGTATGTTTATATACACGCACCGCTATTGTTGACCTTATTGTTCACCTTATAAACACAATTCACATCACACAATTTTTTAATATTGTTCGTAGTCACGTAAAAACAAAGACAAAACACCCCCCCCCCCAAAAAAAAAAACAAAAAAAAAAACAAAAAAAAAACAAAAGCCAACAAAAAAAAAAAACAAAAAAAAAACCCCCCCCCCCCCAAAAAAAAAAACCAAAAAAAAAACCAAATAAACACGCAAGCCAACAAAGAAGAAAAGCTAATGCTTCGGCCAATGAACAAAAAGAAGAGGAGAAACACGAAAATCAACAACCGATTCATTTAAATTTTAAAGCGCTGCAATCAGCGAAACAATTAATCAATAACCAATCTTGTCACAGCCAGCGCGAGAGAGCGAGCGGGCATTAATTATGAAATCTAAAGCCGACAGAAAGCCATTATAGAATGCCGTTTCCCTGGGTAATGGCCCTGTTGCCATTTTTACTTTAATTTGCACATTCGACATGTTTAATTTAGGGAGGGGGGGGGGTGTTTTTAATTTTTAGTGTGTTTTAAAAATTTAACCTGAATTGGTTGGTTTAAAAATTCAAAAATGAAAAAAAAAAAAAAAAAAATCACACATTTTTTGCTAGTTGACATTTCAGTTATATCTTAGCAAAAATATGTTTAAAAAAAAAAAAGAAGAACTTCCTAGCGTCGATAGACTTTGTGACACCAGGGGGGCGGTCATTAAGTTTGACGCCCTTACTCAATGGGGCGGTAATTGAGCTTGACGCCCCTACTCAATGGGGTGGTCATTGAGTTTGACGCCCTTACTCAATTAGGCTGTCCTTGAAGTTGAGGCCGTTACTCAATTGGGCTGTCCTTGAAGTTGAGGCCGTTACTCAATGGGGCTGTCATTGAGTTTGACGCACTTACTCAAAGGGGCTGTCGAATTTGAAGCCCTCACTCAATGGGACTGTCCTTGAATTTGACGCCCTTACTCAATGGGGTGGTCATTGAATTTGACGCCCTTCTCAATGGGGTGGTCATTGAGTTCTGCGCCCTTACCCATCCAATTATTTAACACTGTTAACACCAAGTAATTTTTTTCCAACTGCAGTAGACCGACACTGTCACCCCTTCCACCACAAAAAGTGAGAGCTCCACCCCTCCACCCTCCCCTCCAGCCCAATCTTTCTAAGCCTGTGCGTGAATGTCATGTTCTTCAATTTCTTCATGTTAGATTCTGTTTTAGATATTTCCAGCTAAATTACAATTCCCTCCGTAGAAAGATTGTAAGATTGTTATTTTATTATTATTTTTTCAAAATTCTTTTTAAAGATCATTTTTTCCATGGCCAAATTGGGACTTAGTTATAATGCTAATGCTTGTAAATTAAATGTTCAAACAGCCTATTTACAACGCTACTGAGTGTAACGTAGATGGTCAAACAGCTCAGTTAGGCTATTTATCGATTCGTCCATCCTAACCACTCATCGGTACGATTCCAACGTGGCCAGTCACTTGACCAGACCATCCTGAGAAATCAACCGTGTATAACTCAACTATAAGAGATTCCTTAAAGAACATCTTATTTGAGATTAATTCCAGATTATAATAGGTTGCATAATTAGTATAATCATGTCTTTTATTACAGTTGAACTGCCGACATTATTATTGATGGCTGTGCTTTTAAAACGCTTTTAAAGATTGTACACGGACGTATCAATAGGACATCATCTGTTTATTATGAGAAATGAAATGGCATCATGGGTGTGACTCGATAAGTAAGTAAAGTGGTTGTAAGTTTTCAACAGTCGTGTCAACTTGACCATTACTGTCCCCCTGTGCCCGAACCCGAGGGTCAGCAACCTTTTTCTTTTTTTTTTTTGAGTGAAGAGTAATTATTTTGATAAGTTACATTTGTGAAGAAATTATTTTTGCAAGCAGCAGGCATAAATTAGCATTTAAAAAAGTGGAGCCAAAATCTATTCCTTCTAAGCGATGCATGGAACTTCGGAACTGCAAGGAGCAGTCTCAGCTGTGGGTCGCTGACTACAGCCCTAGCTGTCTCACCTGTGGGTGGCTGACTACAGCCCTAGCTGTCTCACCTGTGGGTGGCTGACTACAGCCCTAGCTGTCTCACCTGTGGGTGGCTGACTACAGCCCTAGCTGTCTCAGCTGTGGGTGGCTGACTACAGCCCTAGCTGTCTCACCTGTGGGTGGCTGACTACAGCCCTAGCTGTCTCACCTGTGGGTGGCTGACTACAGCCCTAGCTGTCTCAGCTGTGGGTGGCTGACTACAGCCCTAGCTGTCTCACCTGTGGGTGGCTGACTACAGCCCTAGCTGTCTCACCTGTGGGTGGCTGACTACAGCCCTAGCTGTCTCAGCTGTGGGTGGCTGACTTCAGCCCTAGCTGTATCAGCTGTGGGTCGCTGACTACAGCCCTAGCTGTCTCACCTGTGGGTCGTTGACTACAGCCCTAGCTGTCTCAGACAAGGATGGCTGACTATAGTCCTTGCTGTCTCAGCTGTAGGGGGTTGACTACAGCCCTAGCTGTCTCAGCTGTGGGGGCCCGACTTCACCTCTAACCCACCAAGCAGATGATTTAATCAGATATTTGCTCTAAATATCAGTTGTCAGTTTTGATTCTAGACTCAATTCCAATAATATTTTAACAACAACAAAATGAGACATGGCTTTTAAAAATAAATAAATAAAATGGGTATATTTTAAAATAAATTTATTTTGTTTTTCACTGAAATTTTTCATAATTTTTTTTCTTAGATCGATCCTTTATCTCCCCCCTACCCCCCCCCCCCCCACCTTATCTGAACACGAGAGTCAATAATCTCAATCCATAACATCTCAAAAACATAAAATGGTAAATAACTTGATCCGTCTGTCTTCGTAAGATCCCAAACTTACTTCTGAAATGAGGTCAGCTGCACCGTTCTCGGATACTCCACCCCTTCTTTGACGATGCCCTTCGACTCTAGTGGTGGGCATAGATAAGTATTTTCAAAAGACGTTACCATGAGAAACGTTATTTTTCAAAATCATCAAAATAATATAGGAACTTAAATATTATATATATATATGTATATATATAGGACTCAAAGCTCAAAGGTTGTTGACAGTGAAAGTAACTCACCACAGTCAAGTGACTGAAAGTAACGTAATACAGTCAAGTGACTTTGTGTGCTGTTCTCTGCTTTAAGTTCAACATGGCTGCCGTGGGAAAACCCTTTTTTTTCGTGAATTAAACTTAAAATTATCTTAAAATGAGACTGTTTCAGAATGTATTTATTCATAACTAGACTGTCCCGGAATGAGATGAAAGTACGCTATTTCAGAAATTAAACGTCGTTTTCAAAATCTTTATAAATATGTCATACATTTACATCTCTTATGCATCTCAGAATCCAAACATTTACATATAACCCGTTTGTGAATTTAATACATTACATCTAACCCGTTTCTGAATTAAATGAATTTTCAGCTAAACCGTTTCACAATTGAATGCATCTAGAATTAAACACTAAACATTTTATATTGTTATATAATCTCATGTTTAATTATATTTTAGTCCTAGCAGTGACTGCAACAAGAATTTTCTTCATATCTGAGACTTGTCGATTTCCATCCCAGCTTCAATTTCTTCTTTGGTTATTTTGCCGTCATCTGTCGATAGAAAAGAGTGATAAAGATAGATGTTGAATTTAAAAAAAAGTCTTTACATTACAACCAAAAAAAGTAAAATGATGTGATGTTAAGCGAAATGACTAAACATAGAGCTGATTGACATAAACATAGAGCTGATTTAGATAAACATAGAGCAGACTGACATAGACATAGAGCTGACTGACATAAACATAGAGCTGATTTAGATAAACATAGAGCAGACTGACATAGACATAGAGCTGACTGACATAAACATAGAGCTGATTTAGATAAACATAGAGCAGACTGACATAGACATAGAGCTGACTGACATAAACATAGAGCTGATTTAGATAAACATAGAGCAGACTGACATAGACATAGAGCTGACTGACATAAACATAGAGCTGATTTAGATAAACATAGAGCTGATTGGCATAAACATAGAGCTGACTGACATAAACATAGAGCTGACTGACATAAACATAGAGCTGATTTAGATAAACATAGAGCAGACTGACATAGACATAGAGCTGACTGACATAAACATAGAGCTGATTTAGATAAACATAGAGCTGATTGGCATAAACATAGAGCTGACTGACATAAACATAGAGCTGACTGACATAAACATAGAGCTGATTTAGATAAACATAGAGCAGACTGACATAGACATAGAGCTGACTGACATAAACATAGAGCTGATTTAGATAAACATAGAGCAGACTGACATAAACATAGAGCTGATTTAGATAAACATAGAGCTGATTGACATAAACATAGAGCTGACTGACATAAACATAGAGCTGACTGACATAAACATAGAGCTGATTTAGATAAACATAGAGCAGACTGACATAGACATAGAGCTGACTGACATAAACATAGAGCTGATTTAGATAAACATAGAGCAGACTGACATAGACATAGAGCTGACTGACATAAACATAGAGCTGATTTAGATAAACATAGAGCTGATTGGCATAAACATAGAGCTGACTGACATAAACATAGAGCTGACTGACATAAACATAGAGCTGATTTAGATAAACATAGAGCAGACTGACATAAACATAGAGCTGATTTAGATAAACATAGAGCAGACTGACATAAACATAGAGCTGATTTAGATAAACATAGAGCTGATTGACATAAACATAGAGCTGACTGACATAAACATAGAGCTGACTGACATAAACATAGAGCAGACTGAGAAAAAACATAGCGCTGACTGACATAAACATATAGCAGACTGACATAAACATAGAGCTGATTGACATAAGGAGATATCGATTGCATGACACAAGCGCCGTCACGTGACTTTGGGAGAGAGAGCCCCCCCCCCCTGGATCTTTTCGTTTTTTTGCCCCCTGCATTCAAAGTGGATAAAAATGTATTCCACATCACAGCTTTGGGCCCCTTTAATATTGGAGGCCCTATACAGCCGTAAGGGCCACAGGCACCATACAAAATGCTCTGATGTTAGTAGTTTTAAGTGGCGTAAAAAAAACAGAGAAGTACCGGCCCAGTCCATGGTAATGAATGTTGGAGTACTGGCCAAGACTATGGTAATGTATGTTGGAGTACCAGCCCAGTCTATGGTAATATATGTTGGAGTACCAGCCCAGTCTATGTTAATATATGTTGGAGTACCAGCCCAGTCTATGGTAATATATGTTGGAGTACCGGCCCAGTCTATGTTAATATATGTTGGAGTACCAGCCCAGTCTATGGTAATATATGTTGGAGTACCAGCCCAGTCTATGGTAATATATGTTGGAGTACCGGCCCAGTCTATGGTAATATATGTTGGAGTACCAGCCCAGTCTATGGTAATATATGTTGGAGTACCAGCCCAGTCTATGGTAATATATGTTGGAGTACCAGCCCAGTCTATGGTGATATATGTTGGAGTACCAGCCCAGTCTATGGTAATATATGTTGGAGTACCAGCCCAGTCTATGGTAATATATGTTGGAGTACCAGCCCAGTCTATGGTAATATTTTTTTTTTAAAAGAGACTTTCATATATTAAAGATTAGAACGGCTGAACTTGAAAAGCATCATTTATTTTTGCTTTTAATGAATTAAAGAAAGAAGACACATGTTTATTTAAACCTGTAAAAAAAAATAAAAACAGTATTCTAGAATTAGGAAAATAAATTGTTGGGTAGGTATTGACAAGAACTCAGTTAATATACGTGTTTGATAATATACTTACTGTCAGCGTCCAGTTCGTTGAAGAAGATGTCAATAGGAGAAGTTATTTTGGCTCTTCCTTGACCCCTGAAAGATTTGGAGAATTCCTCATCGTCTTTCCTACTTAAAATCTCCTCCATGGACTTCTCTCCTGTCTCGTTCAGAGAGTCCTCCTCGTCGCCCCTGCCGATTCGAGGGTAGCCCACGGCGCCCTGGGTGAAGACGCCCCTCTTGCCACTAAACGCTTCCTCCAGCTGTCTGCCTATTCTAGGATAGCCCACGGCGCCCTGGGTGAACACGCCCCGTTTACCATCAAAGGCGTCGTCGTCCCGGCGCCCGAGTCTCGGGTATCCGGACGCGCCCTGGGTGAAGACTCCTTTTTTGTCAAGGGCTGAAAGATCGGAAAATTGCACAGTTGGAAAGAGGATTTGTGGTGACTCGTAGTGACGACCGATACGTGGGAAAGGCTTGTCATCTGTGTAGTAGGCACGTTTTCCCACTCTGGGGTAACCTGGCTCATTATTTTTAAAGTAGAAAACTCCGCAACTGGTTCCGGTCATGACGTAGACAACAAAGATGATGGGCAGCTTGCACATTCTTGTTTTTTTTGTTTTTTTTAAGGAGGGGGCCTGAATATAAAACAGAGAAAAAAGTGTGTCAGCATAATAATATCCTTGAATAAAGCAGCATAAGAGCCAAACTGTAGTAGTCTGCAATCTCAAGAAACAAATTGCAATAGCAAAGTAACCATTTAAGGCAGTGGTTCTCAACCTTCCTAATGCCGCTTAATACAGTTCCTGATGTTGTGGTGATCCCCAACCATAAAATTATTTACATTGCTACTTCATAAATATGTGTTTTCCGAGGGTCTTAGGTGACCCGTGAGTAAGGGTCGCGACCCATATGTTGAGAAACGCTTACAAAAAAAGTGAAAATTTTAAAATGCAATAGTTCCATTAAAAATGGTTTGTATTAATTTCGGTTTTGTTCGTGTGTTTCTTTCTGGCTGGGTGGGTGGTACACTTCTTCGGACGGCTAATTGATCCACTTCCCGTCCACCTATCGTGCGGAAACCAGGCACATAGAGTCGTTGCCGATAACAACACTTTCTTTCAAATTTTCTGCCCCACCCCCAATCCTGTATTTCAAGGGGACAAAGAAGGAAATATGATGCCACTGATTTCACGAAATAAATTTACCGATAATTTTGCAGAATTAGATTCTTTCTTTTCTTTTTTTTTTAATATCGCAAGTGCGATTGGTGGGTAAAATTTTCTTTTGTTTTTCTGAAATAGTTAGTGAAATAAATACGAGGTGTAAAAGCAAGTGAGTCATTCAAATATTTATATGGTTCGGGGGCGTGACAAAATGTGCGATTGCTAGCCAATTTTTTTTTTTAAATATTTTTTTGGGGGGGAAACAATAATTGGTATTCTTATGAAGTGCGTTACTTGAGTGCATGTTTTGTCAAATTTTCAGCCCAGCCCCTCATCGCTCGAAATAATTTTTTTTTAAAGGATTTATACGAAAAACGTGGGGTTTTTTAAGGGCTTGTTTCATTTATTCATGTTGATTACTGATAAAAACTAAGTATAATAATCATAAAAAAAATCTTTGATTTATGTATATTATAATGAAAAGTTTGAGTTCAGAGTATTCTTTTTAAACATTAAACGTCATTAAAATATATTGGTAACAACTAAAACAATTTTAAAATGTTTAAGCTGCTCATTAAAAAGTTGGCATAATTTACCAATCGTGTTGTCTGGCAACCTCCGAGGTTTCCTGAAATATATATATATTTTTTTTAACATTTGGGTTTTTTGTTGTTGTTGTAGTAAATTAAAATGTTCTAAGTGTAAACATTTTATGTTCTAAGTGTAAACATTTTATGTTCTAAGTGTAAACATTTCCTGCGAAGACGAAGTCAAGTACAGTGTGATGTTTTGTGTCAGTTTTTTTACAAAGTACACTCACTCACCTATAACAGTGCTAACTGTTACACTCACTCACCTATAACAGTGCTAACTGTTACACTCACTCACCTATAACAATGCTAACTGTTACACTCACTCACCTATAACAGTGCTAACTGTTACACTAACTCACCTATAACAGTGCTAACTGTTACACTCACTCACCTATAACAGTGCTAACTGTATTATTTTCTTTTATTTCATTTTTAGGTATAGGTAGAAGGATGTGCATATAGTATGTCAATTTAATTTATAATTGTATTATATTATAATTGTATAAATTAAATGTACATAATATATATATATATATATATATATATATATATATATATATATATATATATATATATATATATATATATATCCTACCTAAAAAAAGGGGGGGGGGATTAATAGGAGTGGGCGAAAATAACAGACAGAAGGATTTATATATATATATATATATATATATATACAGATATCCTACCTAAAAAAAGGGGGGGGGGATTAATAGGAGTGGGCGAAAAAAACAGACAGAAGGATAGCAAAGAAAAGTGTAACGGGAGTGATTTGAGCACAATTGTAAAAACTAAACAGGAAAAAGACATGGAAGCTAGGTAAAATTGTGGATTTGGTTTATTCCATATGGAGACAACGTCCCAAATCGTTTATTCTCCAGGTATATCCTATCTGTTTTGCTAGTAGTATACAGTATACCAGTAACTGCGATGTCTGAGACACCATCATGGTTAGGGCCAATGTTCCCTCTAAGGTTTGCTGGTTCGTGTGCAAAATCACACAGTTGTGTGCAAAGGTTTACAGCATCGATTTTTTTGTGTGCAAAATTTTACAGCCCACAAATACAAACACACACTTGCATGGAAATTTGCTGCGCGGATACTCAAAACTACTGCGCGGCGTCTGTGAGATAGCTGCGCGGCCGCGCATCCGTGCAGCTTCAAGGGAACATTGGTTAGGGCTATTGAAATTTTTGGAGACGGACAAAGAGCTTGTTTATTTATGGTATATAGGTGTTCTCTGAACCGGTCTCCAAGGCGACGACCTGTCTCTCCTACGTATACTTTACCGCACTTTTTGCAAATGGTGTTGTAAATCACGTTGCGACTTGTGCAGGTAAAGCCATCTTTTATTTTGAATATTTCCAGAGGGAAAGTGATCTTGTCAATCTCAATCACATAGCGACATGTACGGTTGCAACTTTTGGTGCCTTTATGTGCTTTGATAGCGGGAAGGTGGCTTCTAACTAGCATGGCTCCAAGGCTCTTGTCCCCCCGGAAAGAGAAAAGAGAAGGTTTTCTGAAAATCTCATTGGTGACCGGTTCTGCCATAAGAATTGAGCGGTTTTTCAGAACCAGAAAACGAGCTTTTAGGTTATGGGGATGAAGAGTTAAAATAAATTTAGACCTATCCCTAGCGTCAGAATGGGTGGCTTTAAAAGAGTCCTGTCTAGTCATACCTGTCACTCGAAAGCTGCTTGTAAAAAAAATTGTTCAGGATATAACCTGCGCCGGAAAAAACAACAACATTTCAGCCGTCCTTTCCCAAATATCCTCATCATTGCGACAGAGTCTTCTCAGTCTCAGCAAGTGAGAAAAAGTGAAAAAGGGGTGGAGTTTTTGCCTGATTGAGGATGGGATGATGAATACCGTAAGAAACTATGGCTGTCTGTTTTCTTATAGAAAATGGACGTAGATAAGATGTTCTCTTTAAGATTAATTTTTAAATCCAAAAAAATTGATAGAACTTTTATGGATCGTTGAAGTGAATTTGATTTTTGGATGAAAATGTCCAATAAAATTAATAAAAGTTTCCAGTTGTGTTATGTCCATATTGGTAAGAGAGACAGGTTGTCGCCTTGGGGACCGGTTCAGAGAACACCTTTATAACATAAATAAACACGCTCTCTGTCCGGGCTCCAAACATTTCAATAGCCCTAACCATGATGTTATCTCAGACATTACAGTTACTGGTATACTCTATACTAGTAGTAAAACAGATAAGTTATACATGGAGAATAAATTAATAACACGATTAGGTACGTTGTCTCCATATGGAATAAACCAAATCCACAATTTTGCCTAGCTTCCATGGCTTTTTCCTGTTTGGTTTTTACAACTTTGCTCAAATCACTTCCGTTACACTTTACTTAACTTTACTTCTGTCTGTTATTTTCACCCACTCCTATTTTTTCTCCCCCTTTTTTAGGTAGGATATCTGCACACATATATATATATATATGTAAATGATGTAAATAATGTAGATTTAATTTATACGTATTTGTCTTTTGTTATACTGATGAAGGCATATTCCGAAACGTATACTTTTGTATTCTGTAAAATTATCATTAAAGCATACCTTATATTGTTATATTGACACAAATTGTTGGTGTCCAATTAATCTATTTTAAAGCTTTATCGCAGTCCAACACTTATGGTAATTAGTTATTTCAAACAATATCAGATTACAATTTTCAAATGAACTTAAATAAATAAAATTATATTTATTATTTTCAAAAGAGCAACATTTAAGCTTGCCATTAAACAGCTTTATGTTTATTTGATTTAATAACCACGTGAGACAAAATTGATGAGGTATTTTACCCTTTTAAAAGTAAAATTTAATAAATATAATTGATTGCCTTTTAAATTGTTAAATAAAACACAATAATTTTAGCTTTGTATTTTTAACTTAAATTAATTAGTTTTTACCCATTTTTCATTCCAAAAAAGATATTCCTTTACCAATTTTATAAAGTCATAAAAAGTTAACGTTTAGAAATACTTTCAATACGGAATTACCATTTTAGCCAATTTAATTTGTGCAGCAAAACTTCATAGCCCAATAGTACTCAGCTAATTCACCTACCACCCATCCAAATAAGAACAAGCCATTATGAAGGTGCAAATGATTCATTTTGATATCAATATCTCAAAAGCCAATTATGTTACAGATTTTAACGTTAGTATAGTCTTTAATGTGAAAACAAGTAACCTTAATGTTTCAATATAGAGTATCATGCGTAGAATTATATATGTATTTTGCTAGAGAATACAAAACAATGTGTGGTAAAAGGTACCGGGGACTTAACATTTTACTTAAGCTCAGGGACGTGCAAAAATGTGTGGTTCCATACGTAAGGGGGGGGGGGGCTACCATCCCGTCAATGGTTTTATTATTTTTTTAAAAATTAAAATCTTTGTATGTGTGTGTGTGAGGAGGGGGGGGGGGGATTCGATAAATTTACTTGACTCCAGGCAGCACAAGATACGCCCCAGAATAACTTTAACCTTCTCAGGTACATAGATATCGGGGTTAAGGAATAAGGTGTGTACATTTTTACGTGGATGACACTATACTCAGATCCAATGATATTATTGTCGTTTAAAAAAAAAGGTTGTTTCTTTGTCTGTCCACAAATAACAGTTAACTATATGTTATAACAGTTAACTATATGTTATAACAGTTAACTATATGTTATAACAGTTAACTATATGTTATAACAGTTAACTATATGTTATAACAGTTAACTATATGTTATAACAGTTAACTATATGTTATAACAGTTAACTATATGTTTTATCAATGAAGAAAATATAATTCAATGGCGTGGAGAAAACGCGGGTACATTTATATAAGTAAACCGATACCTCAAATAACAGTATCAAAACCAATCATTTCACACACGTGAACAAAAATGGGTTAAGTTTTTCTTTAAAAATATGAAAATTAATAACTTTGAGAAAAGTAAAATGGGTGTATTTTTTTTAAACGAGATTAATAAAAAAAATTTTTTTATGAAAACACTCAAAGCTGTTACAGACGTGTAAAACGGTTAAAATGTTAAAATCATTTCCTTTCTACTTCTCTTTACTTTGTTTTTGTCTGGTTTTAGCGCCCTCTCCGATATTTTTCTGTTTTAGGTAGGATATGTATATTGATATTATGTAAATTTTAATTTATACTTATTTAAATGTGTTGGTTTGTTTGTACTGATGAATGATGAAGGCATGTGCCGAAACGTTTACTTGTGTATAATGTATAATTATTATTAAAGCTAACTCATATTGTTCTATTGACACAATTTGTTCGTGTCTTATTAATCTAAAACGGTTAAGAGTTTATTCTTTAGATAGAAGCATTCTTTGTTTGAAGGCTTAAGGCTGAAAGAGAAACGTTAATAAAGTGACAAAACTATTCTGACTTAAAGGAATTTTAAGACATCAACAATCGGGGTTTTCAAGATAAAATGGATGTTTCGCATTTATTGTTGAAGGTAATATTGAGAGAAAGCCATGAGCTGTGCCTAATGTAATATTTAGCGACAGCCATGAGCTGTGCCTCGTGTAATATTTAGAGACAGCCATGAGGTGTCCGTCGTGTAATATTTAGAGACAGCCATGAGCTGTGCCTCGTGTAATATTTAAAAACAGCCATGAGCTGTGCCTCGTGTAATATTTAGAGACAGCCATGAGCTGTGCCAAATGTAATATTTAGAGACAGCCATGAGCTGTGCCTCGTGTAATATTTAGAGACAGCCATGAGCTGTGCCTCGTGTAATATTTAAAAACAGCCATGAGCTGTGCCTCGTGTAATATTTAGAGACAGCCATGAGCTGTGCCTAATGTAATATTTAGAGACAGCCATGAGCTGTACCTCATGTAATATTTAAAAACAGCCATGAGCTGTGCCTCGTGTAATATTTAGAGACAGCCATGAGCTGTGCCTCATATAAAGCGTAAAAGAATGGAACCAATAGATTTGAAACGTGTTAATGAAACAGAATGTTCAATTTTACATTTAAATTTGGCTGA